TTGGTCCAGGTATGTCTAAGATACAAGCTCGCACGGACGCACAGACACATGGCGCACAGAGGTCAATTCATAAGTCCCTGTTTTCGAACTGCATCTGAACAGGGACTAATAACTGTAACCCTAGTATATTGACTTTCTGTAGTGAAATATTGACACAAGTGTTCTAGTATGTGGGAACAAGAAAATCACTATACTTGCTGAATAAGATAAGATAAAATAAGATAATTCTTTATTACAACCTTATAGAATGAATTACATATCTATTTTGGTTTATGAAATGCAATAAAGGTGTTAAAATAAATTATATTATGAATATATTATGCCCACCCTCTCTGATAACACTTTGTTATCCCCACCCTATCCTATATCTACATATCCCCAGGTTTTTATGAGATTTCATGAAAAAATGCCTGACTCCTTCAAGCTTCTCTGAACATCGCTATCCCAAGATTAGCCCCATAGGTGCCCCACATTCCCCAAGAAAGGAGGGGTGTCAAGTTTTCCATTGACTCGTGCATACAGTAAAAACCATGAACAGTAAAAGTCATGAATTGTACTTTGCACTAGTACTAGCAGAGTTAAATTATGTCAAACCAATGATTGTTAACTTTATAAAAAACAGTCTACCCTTCCAACAAAGCCACAGTAAATGTTGATAATACATCATATGAATTTGAACTGCGACAATCAGAAAAAAGTCTAGTAAAAGACAGCATATGCCAAAGATACAATGCAAATGTAATTAAAAGTGAGGAACACTTTATATTGACTTGTCAGAAATATGACACTGAAAGAAAAAAATTCCTTAATAAAATCAAAATTTCATCAAAGATGAAAGACAGTAAAAATCTATTCACATATTCACTTTCAAGTAGAGATACAGACATTATTATGAATTTAGCTGACTATATATGTATAACAGAATAATAAAGTGTCATTACAAACACTGATGTCGGGCCAAGGGGAATGAGTCTTATTTATTTATTTATTATTGTAGTTTCAAGATTACACTTGCCTGGTCAGTTACGCAGCACCTTTTTTTACGAGGCGTCCGCTTTGCTACGTCATAGGGATCAAATTGCGTGAATATATAATAATAATAATCTTTATTGCGTTCGTATCCCTATTAGAATTTTGACTAAAATGCAATACAGATGTAAATAAAGACAAACAGACAATTAAAGTGAGAAAAAATTAATTGAACATGGCTGCTTCACGTCCCCATTTAGTTTTCGTAAGGTGGAACTAGTTTCGGATCGTTAGATTGAACTAGTTTCAGTTCGTACCACTGATATTTTCTTTCTCACTGGAGTGTTTTGTTGCACCTGTAATTGTTGTATAAATCCCGTACATTTTACCCCGCAATACCCCCACCCCTACTCGCTACATTTTATCACTCGTACTCGCTAAATTACCTCCATGCACTCGCTAAAAATACCACCCATACTCGCTACAAATATCACCAGTACTCGCTACAAATGTCACCCGTACTAGCTACAAATGTCACCCGTACTAGCTACAAATGTCACCCATACTCGCTACAAATATCACCCGTACTCGCTACAAATATCACCCGTACTCGCTACAAATATCACCCGTACTTGCTTCAAATATCACCCGTACTCGCTATTTTCTGAACAGTACGACCCATACTTTTCACCCGTACTTGGCTCATTTTAGTACATTTATATACCTCTTTAACTAGCACATTTCATAAAATATTACTTTTTGCTATACCAAATATAAAATTATGTGTAAACATGGAAGGTATAACTAACGGATACATAAATAAGTCAATAAAG